TAGTTATAAAATATTACTTTGTGATTCAAAAATACACTTATAAATTTTAAATTTTTTCATTTAGTTGAATTATTAATTTTTTTAGTTGACTATGTTGAGTTACAGACTTCAGTATGGATATGTAAACCACTCCCCCTCGTTAATATTCCTGTTGTCATGGTTACGGACCCACGCCCACTGCATACTGTTACACCTTGCAATGAGATTGGACTGGCCGATTGATTACAAGTAGGTGTGGTTTGAACCACTATTACATGGACTATATTAATTAACATTATACAGTTTTGGAAGAAAACATGAGCTATAGCCCATGGTATTTTTCAGAATTTTGGGACTTTATTAAGATGTTCGTAGCTTGAAAAATTCAAGTCAGAATCAGCTCAAACTTCCTACACAGCTTAAGGACATCAATATGTATCAGAAAATCTATTAAAAATTTGGGGCAATTTCGGAGCCATTTTTTGGAAAAAACGATGGGCCATAGCCTTGGGTATTTTTCAGAATTCTTGGAATTTTTATTAAAATGGTTGTAACTTGAAAAATTAAAGTTGGAATCAGCTCAAACTTTCTACATAGCATAAGGACATCACTATGTATCAGATAATGTAATAAAAATTGATGGGATGGCTTCGGAACCATAATTTGAAAAAAAAGCAAGTGCTCTAGTACAGGGTCTTTTAAAGAAATTGAAAAATAGCTGTAACTCAAAACTTACTACATACTGTAGCATAAAGACTTCAATGTGTATTTGAGTTTATTAGTAGCCATTTTAATGCTAAATTGACTGAATTATAATGGTTTTATTTGTAGTGCTAACTTTATGCAGTTAAAGAAGAGTCTCGTCTCACGATTGGACACATTAAAGAGGTATACATGTCTTCATTTTGTAATTTATTTTTATTTGTTGTAGGTCGTCAAGTGAAAGTCATGTTACGTCGTACCCGTCACCTGTTCACACCTTGTTTGATAAAGACATAGTTACCATGGGAACAGACCAATTATCGTGCCTACTACAGAATATCATGGCGTCTCCTGTAAGTCGTACATGTACATGTACATTAAATGTACAAGATTATGTTGTATTATAGGGAGAGTGTATACATGCACATGTACATGTACTTATGCTGGTACTTCTTGACTTAACTTGGACACGTTTATGGAAGCACTTTAGCTTGAAAAAGTGGCCTGTTTTTTAAGATGATGTCATTAATGATGACGTGTAGTATTGATAACTAGTCACTACTTGTGGACATTCTCCTAAGAATTAAGGAAAAATGGCTACTCTAGTGGTTACTTGTAATATGCTTTGTCTTCTTCACTAAAAAGAGTGTCTTCTGGTGGTAAAAGAGCTAATACTGGTTGACAGAAGTGTTCTACAGATGCCTACTCCTGGTTCTACACCTTATTCCTCTGTCTCTACTCTCTACACAGTGTTATAACTATTAATTAATAATCTGTTGCATGCCCAATTTAAAGTTTGTTTTCTCTACAGTGACATGTGCATCTATTTCTGTTTCCATTTCTGTTACATGTCTTTCCCTGAATGTGTTCCTTTAAGCCCTGTAATGTACACTAGGCAAATGTTTGCTAGCAATATTTGCGGTTATTTGGATCTTGTAATAATAGAACAAAATTTTAACAATCTGACCTCTTGATTCAAAAACGCTTTAAGTTGACATGAAATTGGCCAAAATTAAATTTTGCACTCACTTGTGTTGCATTTTGTGGTGACTGTAAACTGGGCTTTAGGCTTAATTCACGTGAGGCAAGCAGTGGTAAGCGTTTGTGTTTTATTATTGATCTACAGTAGAGTTCCTTTTAATGAGCACTCTCTATAGTGGACACCTACAAGTGTACTAAACTTTCTTGTAAGTGTCCCGTTATACAGAGGTTCTACTGTAGTGCTGGGTGAAAGTATTGATGGTTATCAGTTATCACTATCACGGTATTAAATCACCTCAATATCAAATGAATACAATGTGTTCATTTCAATTCAATTTCATTTTAATTAATGTCGCTGGACTCGTAAGAGCATTATTGCAACAGTATTGTACAAATATAAACCAACACATAGAGGCACTGAACTGGATGGGTGGATGGGAGAGGCTTACTTGCTACAGAGACTTCTTCAGAGCTCAGAAATGTAGTAAGTAAGGGCATTAATATCAAGACCACGAGACAGCTCACTTGACCCACAGATACTTACCTGTGACATGCTGAAAGCAGTGGAGAACAATCACCACACAGACACTGGGCAATCAATCATTTAATATTTCATTTATAAAACATTAAGGTTGCTCATTTTTTTAGAACTCAGAAATTATAGAATAATATAAATTTGACACAAGAAATGTTCATTGTAGTTCAGTGTCACGATTTCACTTTTTTTTGATAATGTGAAGAGAAATCTCATTTATATTGAAATCTGTGGGATCTGTCTGTACTTTGATGCTTTGTATAACTGATTCTGGATTTAATGAGATGTATTTATGATTGTTATATTCCTTCACTCTGACATTCATTATGCAGACAGTGACATGCTGAAAGCAGTGGAGGAGGACACACCAGCCAGACACCACCACACAGACACTGGGTGACTATTTATTTAATTTCATTGAATTTTTTATTGCTCATTTAATAAATAAGGCACAAATAAATAGTTAAGTGATGATTCTACCCTCAGAGAGAGCAAAGTTGAAGTCAAAAGAAAGGTGAGTGGAACAAGCCAGAGTACCTTGAAGGCAGAGAACAACAGAA